GACTAAACTGGAAAAGGTTCAAAGGTTTGCTTTAGTGTCAGAGTGGTTGACAAATGGAATGCATTAGGGGGTGATGTGGTGGAGGCTCACTCCATACACAGTTTCAAGTGTAGATATGACAGAGCCCGATAGGCTCAGGAATCTGTACACCTGTTGATTGACGGTTGAGAGGCGGGACCAAAGAGCCAGAGCTCAACCCCCGCAAACACAACTAGGTGAGTACAACTAGGTGAGTACACCAGTGGGGAGCCGGTGGCCGAGCGAACAGCACGCTGGACACGTGATCCTGTGGTCTCGGGTTCGATCCCGGGCGCCAGCGAGAAACGCTGGGCAGAGTTTCTTTCACCCTACGCCCCTATTGCCTAGCAGTAAATAGGTACCTGGGAGTTAGTCACCTGTCACGGGCTTCTTTCTGGAGTGTGTGTGTGTCTGGTGGGGAAAAAGAAAGTAGTAATAGAAACCGTTGATTGACAACTACAACCTGTCCTCTTAAAAAGAAAGTCGCGTTGGCCGTTTGCCCGTATGGCCGAATATGGACGTAATTTTAAAATGAAACAAAATTAAAATAAATTTGGTATTTTTTTCAACAGCAGTAAGTTAAGGGTCCTCTGATAAGTTAGGTGGGCAGGAAATTCTCATAAAGTTTCAAAACGGTATGAAAAACGTTAATGGAAAGTTGCCTCTTCTAAGCTGGCCGAGTAAGCCGGACGACTCAAACAGAAAACGGAACCGTACGTCACTTGTGTGAGTCGATTTCATTTCAAATTACGTCCAAATTTGGCCATAGCGCACATACCAGCGAAAAGTGACGTTATTTTTAAGAGGACGGGTTCGGAGATCAGAGGCGGTCACAATCGACTTGAGAACTATCCAGGACGTACCGAAACAACGTCGTCCCTTCACTTTCTAGTGTGTGGTCTGGTCAACATCAAGGAAGATTTGATGAGACAGGTTTGGGGCTCTAGGACAAGGAAGACTGTAGTCCAGTACAGCCCTAAGTACGGTGTTAATATTATGATAGCAAAAATGATGTATTTAGCATATATAAGGTCTCTGATAGACTATCATGCACCAGCTTTGGTCCGGCAAAATGGCAAAAGTATTGACAAACTGAAAAAAAATGCAAAATGAAGCACTCAGAATTATACTTGGCTGTCCTATAACTACTAAAGTTCTCAACATGCGGAAAGAATTAAATATACTTAGCATACGAGACAGAATATTTGAAATTAATCTTATGATTGGACTAAAGCTTCTGCGTGATAACAAAAACAACATTGTGTCAGTTGAACTGTTAGAACACAAACGAAATGTAACCAGCGAGTCTAAATGGATTCAAAGAACAGCCACTCATAATAAAATGATGGGACTGCACAGATGAAAGAGTACAGCACTTCCTTCCACCCTGGCAGATAGTACCTTTTGACATCCTGACCCCTACATACCCCCACCAAAAAACTAATCATAAACAACCCTCATGCTCAGCTTACTGCTAAATTAAGCACCATAGAACACATTCACAATATACAAGCTGAAAACAACATAGCACAGACTATATACACTGACGGATCACTCAATACAGCTATAGGGAGGGCAGGAAGTGCTGTTATTGCTCATCAGCCCGATGGCAGCAAAATTCAAAGGAATATCTGAATTAGTAACTGGGCATCCTCAATGCAAGCCGAGTTGGTAGCAATACTGGTAGCACTCAAAATTATTGACAACACTAAAGTAGACCGCTTAATTATTTCCGACTCCCTTTGCTCACGACGAGCAATAAACAGTTTGCAATCAAGTAATAACGTGCTTGTCTTGGAAGCTAGACATAGATATATAAGAATATTTAGCAAGAGGGTAAATATAAAAATGTTAAGGATTCCTTCTCACATTGGCCAGCAGGAACATAATAAAGTTGACACCCTTGTTAAGGCTGCAGTAAACAAAGACAGTATTGAACGGAATCTTGAGTTATCAAATAGGTCCCTTAAAAGTGTCATTAGACAAGAACTCTTGGATGGATTTAAATAAATTAGAACTGTGCAAACTGGAACTAGCAGGTCCATTGTTCATCACAATGAAATGTGTGAAGTAAAACATGTGTATGGGGCAAGTAACAAAGTCAGTAGACTAACAGATGTTGTTACAGCTCGTATAGGACTTGGCTACAAGTATCTCTGGCAGTTCGGCTTGTATAGGGATTTAGACGAAGTAAAGTGTAAAGTGTGTGGACAAAGACAGGGACACACACTCGAACACTATATATTGGATTGTAGTAAAATTGAGCCATTTAGGGATAGATCTAAGCTCACTCTGTATGATATGACAACCTATCTTATTACCATGGATAAATTACCTGAAATCCTTGCACTGTATCCATATTTCGCTTCCAGTAGATAAACGACATATGAGAAGAAGAAACAAGTAGTGTATTGTGAAGACTAATAATAAACAGAAGCTACCCTATGACTATCTCCATTGGTCAAACTATTATGTATTAGCGATAAGACCTACCATTAATGTATAATGACTTACTGTAAATGTAGAGCTCTTGAAATAGCACTTTCTCTGTAACTAGCTGACAATGTAACTATAAGGTGTGAAGGATAGATGAAATTGTTTGTTACATCTTAGATTATGTAATAATCTAAGATGAGGTCTGATAAAGACCTTTTGTGCCCTCTGTAATGCTTTTTGCGCTACCTCTCACAGGATGGGTATGGGGTGCACAATAAACTAGCTGCCTCCGGCAGCAACAATCAAAAAAATAAAAAACTGCTCTATGTAACCCCCTCGGAAACTGTACTCTGCGAAACTTGCAAAGGTTTCATGTGTATGTCCAGTATATTACAGTGATATGTGTGATTGTTATGTATTTCACCAGACTGTTGG